CGTCCTCCAGCAGCCAGCAGGGGGCGACTTAAACCTGCGTCCTCCAGCAGCCAGCAGGGGGCGACTTAAACCTGCGTCCTCTCAGCAGCCAGCAGGGGGCGACTTAAACCTGCGTCCTCTCAGCAGCCAGCAGGGGGCGACTTAAACCTGCGTCCTCTCCAGCAGCCAGCAGGGGGCGACTTAAACCTGCGTCCTCTCAGCAGCCAGCAGGGGCGACTTAAACCTGCGTCCTCTCTAGCGGCCAGCAGGGGGCGACTTAAACCTGCGTCCTCTCCAGCAGCCAGCAGGGGGCAACTTAAACCTGCGTCCTCTCCAGCAGCCAGCAGGGGGCGACTTAAACCTGCGTCCTCTCTAGCAGCCAGCAGGGGCGACTTAAACCTGCGTCCTCTCTAGCGGCCAGCAGGGGCGACTCCAGCGGCTGCAGAAAGAAGTGTGATTGTATAGAAGTCTGTGAGAAATGTTTCTACTTGTCAGCTGATTTATTCCCTCAGTAACACTTTCCTGATGAGTTTCTGGTCTCAGTCGCTAGTTTCAAGTCTTCTTCAACACAGCATGATGTTCATTTAGTAAATTATGGTCCCATTTAGAGGAACAGAGACCAGGAAGGAGGGGAGGCTTTAGGGCGGGGCTACAAGCTGATTGACAGATCGCTACCATGGCGACCTGTCAATCAGGCGACTCGTGTTCGCTGCTGCATTTTCTTTTATTAAATGGCAGCAGCAGAGAGAGCACGTCATGTTTGACTCTGTTAGTATGTTTTGTTTAAAAAGTAAATTTGTTAACTATTTATTTTTTATAACTTTAACAGTGCACTTTAGTTCAGTTTTTTTTATATCCAGGATGTATTTAATAACAGATTAAACATGTTAACAGTGTAACATTAATTTTAAGTCTTTGGTTTTGTTGTAACACTGATAATAACGTTTGGAGGGAGAGCCAGTAAGTTTCAAACCCACTGGTCCGGTGCAGCCAGTTGCCAAAAAGTTTAATGTTGAGCCCTGAATATGAATAAAAATAGAAACTACACAGAGTGCTGCCTACAGCTCAGCGACATTTACAAATAGCAGCCGATTAATATTTTGCATCATAAACTGATTCATTCATTTGACTTGGAGACGTTGGTTTGGTGAACTCCTCTCCGACTCCTCGGCTGGGTGGAGTCGAGGGGGATTTCTACAGGAAATGACCACAGAGAGTCTGTCAGCTGCACAGGAAGTGTCCGTCCTCCAACACTGACCCCCCCCTCCTCCTCCTGTGTTCCTGCAGGAAGCTCCTGGTGAAAACTGTCAGCGCTCCAGCTTCCTTCCTCTTCTTATTACACTGAAACACACGACTGTAACCGTGGAGGAAACCGTTAATGATCGGCGGACGCCACATACAGCAGAACTTCAAGACTTCCTGTCCCTCCTTCAGACTAAAATCTGCTCCTTGTGTCCTAACAAAAGGTTTCTGCTGTCGGCCTTCTGGGACAAACGTTATGTTCCTGAGGTTTTCTGTCTGAAACATTAGAAAGATTCTGAATCGATTAACAAATGTCAATAATCGATTATCTAGAGGTTAGTTGATAACGTAATGTTGACGGAACGAAAAAGGCGGAACTGGGAAATGAGGAAGTGCAGCTCCGGACCGCCAGTGCGGTGAACACAGCGAAGACGTGTAGTTCTCCCTGTTCGGTACAGACAGCTGTTGAATGAGTGACTAAACTTTCACATGATCAATAAAGTCAATGCGCAACTCATGTTAATGATTTTCACCCGCACACTGGTGCAGTATGGTAACGCTCAGCTAGCGTCCACTCCTCCTCCTTCAGAGGACAGCTACCCAAATCCAGAGAAATCCAGGAAGTGAGATGGGGTGTAAATGTGCTCCCTTAGTCCTCTATGGGAGTTTTCCATCGTGTACCCAAACATGTTGCTGTGATTAAATAGCAAGAAACGGATCAAACTGATGCTGAAATAACGACAGCATGATGCAGATTTGTTAAACATATGAATTGATGCTTTGTCAGGTCTGTCAGCAGGACAGCAGCTTCTAAAATGTTTGTTTTCTGAATGGAGTTTGGTTCGATCAGGGCTATGCTGCTAACTTGTTCACAGTAAAGACAACGACAGCTGGAATAAAGTTACAACGTGTTTCTGAGCTCACCAGGTAGTTCAACCTCCTCGCTTTTTTCTCCAACTATTGTCCAGTTTTGTCTGGTTTTTATGTAAATATGAAGTCGTAGTCCGACAGAGCTAACGACGCTAACAACAACAGTGGAACCAGATGTGCACAGAAGCTGCTGAGAAGCTCCAGTGAAGATAAATCAACCTTGAAATCCCAAAAACTAAAGTAAAAAGCTGATTTAATAAAAGCAGTTAACTCTGAGCTCCTCCTGCGAGTAAACGGCGTAGCTGTCAGAGCAGAATCCGACCGACTGCGGGTGTTTATCTGTCCAAAGGTTGCAGCGCTGCTCCCTGCTCCTCTAGCCCAAGTTTAGCAGCTCTCAGCCGGCCTGCAGATTTTCAATCTCCCGCTCTGCCCGGCGCTCTCCACACAACGCTCTGAAGCCTCGGTGACGTACAAACAATCTCAACACTGATAGGCTAATAGGAAATCGCAGCTCTACGTGTCTTTGCATTGACTTTGTATGTAAACTCACAGCCCCGAACGCTCGCTTCGCTTTTGGTCTGAAAGCACCGTGAGAGAGAGACGAGAGGCGGGACAGGCCGGGGGGTTTACCTGAGGTGTAGGTGTGTGTGAGTGTATCAGAGTGTGGGGAGAAGAGAAATCACGATGCTCAACGTCGTGACGTCTGTCAGCCGTCGGCCCAACCCTACAGCAGACAGTAAACGGATGTTGGAGGTTGTTTGTTTGTCCCCTTCTGTCTCAGTGTGGAGCTGAAACGAGCCGGCTGAGATTTATAAACCAGACGAACTCACAGCTTCATGAATGACATTAGTCGGGCAGTCGCTGAGAAAAACCCTCTAACTCCATTCAGGAGCTGGTCCTGCTCACGGACAAAAGTATGAGCACAAGGACGGAAACCTGGCGAGTTAACCGGTACTGATGACCTTCTGTCACGGCCCAAAGCACTCAAACCACTTCCTGATGCCCAAAGTATATATTTGAATAATAATGACATCGATTGCAGTGGACAGATATTGGGAAACTATTCTATTATAGGACCATGTCCCAAACACCACGTGACGGACGGCCAGAGCGTCGTCTTCTTCCATTTGATTATTATCTTTGCATCTCTGTCATTCTGATATACTGCAACATAAATTCAAAATAGAGGGAAGAAGAGACCAAGTCCCTCAGAAACAACTGCATAATCCTTTTAGTCTCAAAAACAGACCCGGTAAAAACAATTTTTAGATTTTAATGATATTTTCTGGTACATTTTGTTTTGTGACTAAATATATATCAGTCCACTGCAGAGGACGTTCTGCACCCAAGGTAGAACCGTTTAATTTAAAATTATGACATCATTTGCACCTGAATGACTTCCTGTGTATTTATCCCATTTGCTGTTAGTAAATGCTTTAAAAACATAGTTTTTCAGGCCTATGTTGAGTTCCACTTTATCACTTTTAGTGTCCACGTTTCAGAATAAAATATGTTGGGAAAAAAAGTTTATAGACATCATGTTTCGGACAGAACTACAACTCCCAGGAGGCTTCACGCAGACACACCCCATAATATCTCCATCGGGTAACCATGGTAACAGGTGGTGGTGGGCTCTTGTTTGTTCTCTTAAATGAGGAAGTGTGAGAGTCCCACCCATCATACACATCCAGGAACAGGGTTTGATGGAAACCAGACTGAGCTCAGCCTGCACACAGTAGACCAGCCCAGACCTGAACAGCCCAGACCAGCCCAGACCAGTACAGACCAGTACAACCAGACCAGACCAGACCAGTACAGACCAGACCAGACCGTTTTTTGTTTGCTTCTGGGATATAGAAAGATGGACTCCTGGGAGATTAGAACTGATTATATCATTATTTAATGCCATGACTTGACTCAAATTATCTTTCTCATGTTATTAAAATTTAATATTTCTTCTCCACCATTGCTCATAATTATAATTCACCTGATTTCATCCTAACACAGGCCTGACCTGCAAGGAAGAACAGAGGATGTTTAATCTATCTAATATTGTGTTGGTCAGACTGCACGCTGATTTACTGCTTGTCCATTTGAATAATACAGAAGGTAAAGAGCTTAAAAATTAATTCCATATTAAATCGCAATTAGATTGTTTTCCAAAGCCCACTTTGCAGACTCCCGGTCGTACTTCAACAATAAACACAGTTAAGAAACAATTTCACTACGTAGTTACTTAACCATGGTAGCAACTCAAAAATCAAGGACAACTGAACAAAATCAGGCAGGCAAAACGCTCTTATTCTGAAATGCTCCATGTGGATATGTAACGTTAGCCTGCAGAGAGCAGAGCGGGCTCCCACGCTAACAACGTGCAGGCTAAACGCTCCGCTGCTCAGACACGTCAGTGTGAGTTGACGCCGGACAAAACCGCGGCTCAGCCGCTGCCTGTGTCGGTTCAGCTGGCGCCACCATCCCACGCTTTCCTCTAGTTTGGTTTGTTGTTGTAAAACGAACAATAGTACTAGTTTCTCTTTCAGTGTCTTCAGTTCGATCTCTCGTTGATTTTTCCGCAGATGACACTGATGATATTCTGCGGCACCTCAGCGAGGGAAGGTTCAACAGTCTTCTTAGCTGTTTAAGGGCAATTAGGGCGCCGTTTTCTTATAGGCGCTACTTTTTGTGGCGTTTGACGTTCGTCCCCGGTTTTAGTTTTGCAGAAGTAAGAGCAGGTTTCGCTAAATGTTCTCTTCTCTTGCAGACTGGATTTCCACTTTCTGAACTTCGTTTGTAGGCAGCATGTTGCTTCTCCACGCAGCTAGTTAGCTAATGGCTAAGAGGAGTGACGAGTGGGCAGTGAACGGCTGTATGGAACAGACAGTAAATCAATATGAAACTGGTTCTCTGACCTGCAGCGCTTCAGCGAGGCTCCTCCTCTGTCCGTCCACCACGATGAAGGGACGAGTTTTCTCCAGCAGGGGGCGCCGCCACCTGTCCACACCTGAGCACACAGACAGACTGGGTAAACTGGGAGAGAGCTGGGCCCATTAAGGAGCCGATATCAGATGATTGTACATGTCAGTATCATGTCAGCTGATAATTTGTCCACCAGTGGGTTCTGGCAGGCTGATTTTTATACAGTTCAATGTTACGCACAGTAATCCTTTATTAATGCTAACGTTACATTTTAGTTAAATTTTTCTTTACAGTAATATTCATTTTGTTAATGCTAACATTACTTTTCCCTTGCTAACGTTGCTTTTTAGTAAATTTTTTACAGTAATATTCATTTTGTTAATGTTAACATTACATTTTCTTTCCTAATGTTGCTTTTTACCTTTTAAGTAGGGCTGCAGCTAACAATGATTTTAATACTCGAAGCTTCTACAGATTATTTCATTGATTCATCGATGCTTCGTGTAAGAAGTACTTTTGCTTGGCGGCTGCGGCGTTTACCAACACAAACATCACCCGAGTGCTATACAAGTTATACTCAAAAGGTGCAGCTCCCCGTCACCAGGGGCGAGTTCAATCGCAAAACGTTTTGCACCGGTTTGCAACATTTTCGGAGGGAACGACATGTTTCCTGCAACACTGCGCGACGCTCTGCAACGGGCTCCAAGGTATGTTTTCAAAGGTTTGGTGGGCGTGTCTCAGCTGCGACATGTTTGTAAACAAAACGGTGTTAAAAAGGCAGGAAAATTCAGTGCACTTGTGATCACAACAGGGTGTTCAGGGAACCCCCATTTCCGTTGAAAAAAAACATTTTGCTACGTTTCGTCTCAACCATGGTTTCAGTTAAATGCTAAAGTTGCGGTTACTTTCTCAACCCGTGTTCCTGTCTCTTTTGTGGCCAAAGTTCTGTCCCAATATACAAGTCTGCATTTTGGCAAGAACCGTTAAAAATCCCGGAAGTGTTCTTGACACGCCCATTTTACCCAGGATGCATCGGTTGGTAACTTGAGTGAACTTGACTGCACAGATATCCCAGCATTCAAGCGACGAGCTGAAAGAAGCCGAGAGGGGCCAACAACAGAACGTTTTTTAATATTTTCGTACGTTATTTCATCACTAAATCCACTTCTGAGAAGGTTTGAGGCGAGAAATCAGCTGTGTAAATGTCGAATATTGACAGTTTTACTAAAAATTATGGTGAATCTAAAATGTACGCAAACATTTTCGGAGCTATGACGCTCCGCAACCGTCAGCGGGGGGAAGCTAACGAGCCGGCCGGACAGATCAGCTCACAGAGGCCTCAGACCTGCAGCCAACACAGCAGACAGTCCAGCAACACCGGCAGAGTAAAGACCTACAGCGGTGGTTATTCTGTCGTTACATTCTGAGTCATTTTGTAAGATTTAAATCTTAAATCATGAGACATCTGGATGATGTACAGAAAAATCTGGTCTTGTGAAACTTCTCAGAAATAGTATGAAAGGGGGACTATCTTTGCTTTATTATCATTATTTATAAATATTATTTTTAATATTATAATATTAGACATTACATTGTTAGTGTACAGTAGAGTTGTGGTCACACTATTTGCTTTTATTTTATATAATTTTTTTATGTGCAAATAGATCTTGGCATCTGCGCTGGGGGTATTGCGCAATACCAACAAGAACGCACGTCTCAAACCGTCAGCGGCGTTCTGCGCGCTCGTGACGTTGCAAGTTCATTCTTCCAAGAACGACTAGCAAGAACGCTCTCCCCAAGAACACAAGTCTGTTCTTTGCATTCTTGGTTTTAAGAAACACCCACTTGGTTTTACGTTGGACGGACGGTAACATTACAGAGTTGTTGTTTTGTTTAGCTTGAAATAATCCAAGACTTCACATTTTCTTCTTCGTCCCTCGCTGTTTTCTCTCGTCCTCCACTTTGCAAACAGCGGCATCATAATCACGTCCTGTTCACAGCGTAAGCGCGACAGTAATAAATGTCCGTGCGAAACGGTGTGCTGTATAGTTATAAGGATTAAAACGAAATCTGGATGCAAAGAATTTGCATCGATGCATTTTAGTAATCGATTTAATCGATGAATCGTTTCAGACCTACTTGTTAGCGAATATCTCCATTTTAAATGCTAACGTTTCTTTCTAGTTACTTTTAGTAACAGTAAATTTCTTTTTGTTAACTGCTAACGTTAGTTTTTTCTTTGATAACATTACTTTTTGCTCCTAACATTACTTGTGTTGAGGGAGGCATGTTTTTAACCCATTTTGTCGCTGATGTTTTTGATGTTTTCTTGCCTCCTGTAGCGCTAAAGGTTGCATTTAGCCTGTTAGCGTTATCACAGCTACTAGCTGCTCTGGAATATAACAGATGAAGTATAATCTTCATGCACAGCTGAATTAAATCTCCTGTTTTGTTATTAACTCATTAACTACATGAAGACATAAACAGCAAACAGTCCAGATGGTTTAAAGAGGCTAACGTGTCAGATTAGTACCAAGCAGTCAGGTCAAAGGTCACACGCTCCATCTCTCTTCCACCAGACTCAGTTCATTTTTTGATGAATTATAGTTCTAATAATAATTTTCGTTCATATATATATAATTCAGTCAGTTAACGGTAACCGTTACCCGTCACTGTCAGACTGTCGGTTCCGTCCGTCTGTCCGTCCGGAGCCAGAACGCCTCCGTCCTGCGGTGCGTTCAGTGACCTGGCGGCGGTGAACGCAGCCCGCTGCCCGGTGCCGCTGAGCAGCAGCAGCAGCAGCGCGGCGGCTCCGCTCATCCTCTCTGCGTCACCGGCAACCGGCAACAGGTTGCTGCTGCTCCTGCTGACTGATGTGTGTGAGGCAACCCCGTCTCGTTCCCGTTCCCGTTACCTCACCGTGTCGGAGCACCGGGAGAAGCTCCAGGGAAACTCCATGGGGCTTCTTTTCGCGGTAATATCCACAGAAACAAGGAGGTCAGAGCTGCTGCTGCTGTACAGGTACAACGGCGGGAAAGTGACCGTTAATTCGGCGTTACTGTAGCGGGTAAACCCCGGTACCCCGGTGCTCCGGTGCTCCGGTGCTCCGGTCCTCCGGTCCGGACCCTTATTATCTGCGCAGCTCTGGCGAAAACAGTTTCTGGCGGCAAAAAGTACCGTTTACACCGGGCGGAACAGGTCGGTTTGTGTCAGTTATGTTCGCCCGGACACCGGACAGTTCGGTTTATCCGACCGCAGCGGCCTGAGAGCGGCTAATTACCGGAGGACACCGGACCGCCCGTGTTTATACCGAGAGCCAAAGAATACGTCATCTAGCTGCATGAAGCTAACGCGAGCTAGCGAGAGCCATACCGGAAGTAATGCGATTCAGTCTTCAAAATAAAAGCCGGTTTCGGCTTGTCACTGTGAAACAATCAAAAAGTATTTTTTTATATTTACATTTAGCCTGTGATTTATTCCAGCCACTTAAATAATCTGTTATAATAAAGGAGACTATCCAATTCTAGCCTTATTTTTCAAGATTTTTATTATAATAATATTTATGCTATATAACATTTAACATGCTTACTTAAATTCTAACAATATCTTTCCGTTAAACTCCCCTTTTAGTCTATTAAGAGGTTCAATATCTGCTGCAAGTTATAGCAAATATTTATATACAAATTAAGCAAAATAAAGCTATAACTGAATCAATTTAATTTACATTCCAGTCATTATTAATGGTAACTAAACACTCTTAAGGCAATCAGCCTAGAATGTAAACGGAATTTAAAATATAAATAGATTTGATGGGTCATGATTTGCCTAAAACAGTGTTTTACAGTCTACACCGCCTAACCTTCTGGCCTTTAAATAATGTAAATCAAATAAAAACCTAAAGACAGGAACGAGCCTGATTAATGGGTCCTCACCGAACACATCCCCCGAGAACACACACAATCTTTTCAGTTTGGATTTATGGCATTCAAATCAATACATTTCATTTAATGCAGAAATGACTGTAAAGACATATTCAAGATAAAATCATGTGTTTTCGTTCTGAGGGAGCTATTGGCAACTTTCCCAGCTGATTCAAACAGCAGACGCACAAACTGTTATAAATCTAAAAAGATAATGAACTATTTTATGTTTTAAAGCTGCAGCGAGAACTCTGAGTTTAATAAATCTGAAACAGATTATTTGATCATCAAAATAATTGGCCATTAATTTACTAGTTGACAAGTTCTTGTTGATTAACCGTTGCATAAAATGCTATTTTGAATTTATTTTGAAAACAAAGTAACCGGATGCAGTTTTACACACACACACACACACACACACACACACACACACACACATTAACCCTTTCCTCAGGTGAGTTTTTTCACACATTCACTGTTGTTAATATTAAAGCTGCAGAACCCGTCAGTCATATTATGGTGAACTCAGTTGAAATGTTTCTAAAATCTTTCATAACTTTTGTGCTGCAGACTCCGTTATTTTGAATTGTTGCAGGATGAACTATTCTCACAGTCTTTATCTTACTGAAGGTTTTTGCACATTAAACTGCAGAATGTTTTATATTTAAAATCATCTCTACAGCAGAAATGCTGCTCAAGCACCAGTGATAATAATCATATGGTGTCAGTTACACTGGGGACATTTTTTTCCACAATAAGAAAACATGCAATGCAATTTAAATATAGAAGAAACAAACATGCATTGTCCAAAAAAGTAATTTAAGTTAAAAAATAAACAAACTACAGATTACTGCATTGTACTCTGTTCTATTTTTATATTTTGAATGTGTGCCTGTGTGTTTCCTTTTATATAAATAAAAACATTCCCACCATAACTTGGTACAGATAATTTCTCCAGAATGGTCAGAATGTTCTGTGGGAGGAGCCCGTCACAACACAAAGTGAAGCCCTGACAAAGGAACCATTAATGAGTACTTTTACTTTGACAGCTTACTTCCTTTATCGGAGTATTTTACTCGTGGTATTACTATGTTTACTTCAGCACATGAATACTTCTTCCAGCAGATCTCCTGTCAAGAGCTGGGAGGAAGGGTTGGACAGACTTCACTGATTCATCATGTGTTGCTTCTCTGCTCCTCAATCAGCTGCAGAACTGCTGAGTTCAGCAGGATTGCGGGTCAGCGGGGCCGAGGACGGGTCCGGGGGCCCCGGTGGAGCGATGACATCACCCAGAGGAGCGCTGACGTAAACTGATCCAGCATCAGTTTGTTGTGCTTCGGCAGCTGTTTGTGGATCAGATTAAAGTGTGAATGAAGCACAGTTTAATCTGCACGTGAGGACCAGCGGCTTACATAACTCATCTGTAATATCTGATCATGTGATCACTCACACGCTGTTCTGCATGGTGTTACTATTGTGAATATTGTACCAATATGTACCAAGGCAAATTCTTCGGGCTCCATTGAAAACAAAGGGTGAAAGGTATTTTTATTCTTTGGCGTTCGAGTCAGTCTCGGGACCTTCATGGTGTCCTGGTTGCTTCATGTTTCTATTCTTTTATTTTTGCTGTATGTTTCTTTTTTGTCTGATTGGTCTGTTTTTCTTCTTGAAGTTTTAACTGCATTACTTTGTTCAGCACAGTGTCTGGTTTAAATGAGCTTTATAAATAAATGGACTACTTCCTGCTGATATTTATGGTCTGGATGTTGAATTTGTTTGATAACAAAAGTTTCTGGGAACCATTGTTAAAAATAAGTTAACCGTTGAACCAAATAGTGATGATCTTTGTGCAAAAGCCCACCAGCGTATGTATTTTTACTGGAAGCTGAGGGGTTTAAATGTCGACACCTCTTATGGTGCTTTCAGACCAAAAGCGAAGTGAGCGTTCGAGTTTACATACAAATGTACAAATGTCAATGCAAAGACACGTAGAGACGCGATTTCCTGTCAGACGGCACAAAGCGATGCGGAGGGGGCGGGGCCGGCGACGCAAAGGAATTCACGTGAGTTGAATATTTTCAACTCAAGCAAAGATGCTGAGTCACAATAGCGAGATTGTCCGTACATCACCGATGGCTTCAGAGCGTTGTGTGGAGAGCGCCGGGCAGAGCGGGGGATTGAAAATCTGCAGGCCGGCTGAGAGCTGCTAAACTTGGGCTAGAGGAGCAGGGAGCAGCGCTGCAACCATTGGACAAATAAACACCCGTAGTCAGTCGGATTCTGCTCTGACAGCTACGGCGTTTACCCGCAGGAGGAGCTCGGAGTTAACTGCTTTTATTAAATTAGCTTTTTACTTTAGTTTTTGGGATTTCAAAGTTGATTTATCTTCACTGGAGCTTCTCAGCAGCTTCTGTGCACATCTGGGTGCACTGTTGTTGTTAGCGTCGTTAGCTCTGTCAGACTACGACTTCATATTTACATAAAAAACAGATAAAACTGGACAATAGTTGGAGAAAAGAAAGCGAGGAGGTTGAACTACCTGGTCAGAAAACATGTGTCTGTAACTTTATTCCAGCTGTTGTTGTACTTTACTGTGAACAGGTTAGCATAGCATAGCCCTGATCGAACCAAACTCCATTCAGAAAACAAACATTTTAGAAGCTGCTGTCCTGCTGACAGACTTGACAAAGCATCAATTCATATGTTTAACAAATCTGCATCATGTTGTCATTATTTCAGCATCAGTTTGATCCGTTTGTTTCTATTAAATAACAGCAAAATGTAAAAGTAAATGGAGAGTTGTGTTTATTCGTGTTATTCTCGCGTTGTGTGTGAACACTTGCAGCGAATGAACTCACGTGAGGAAAGCGTCGCGAGGAGAAAATACGCGGTTGGTCTGAATGCCGCATTAAATGTTTTACTGTTACTGTTAGAGTGAGTCTAACCTTCTCTTTACCTGCTGGTTTGGGTCGCTGTCCTTCAAAAACAGAAATGTGTTGGAAGGAATTGTTGCAGTAACATAGCAGGCATAAATATAAACGACCTCTCCCAAATATACAAAGTCAGAACCAGGAAGAAAGTCCCGTCAGGCGTCGCGGACCCGACTCACAACATGTTCAGTGAGTTCAGGTTGCTCCCATCAGTTTGTAGGAATAACCTGCAGGAGCAGTAGATTTAGAAACTCGTCCAACGAACGGCATCGTAAGTCACTTTGGATAATAATGAGTCTTGTCGGTGCTCATTTACAGCCGCTTCACCTGCGGGAACTCACCAGGTGAGTTTTCTCACTGATCAGCAGAAAGAACTAAACGTGACTCGGTAGCAGAATTTATTCTTTACGCTCAGACGGGTTTAAAAGGTTTATGTGAACTTCCTGTCCTGGTTTAATCCGGGTCGTAGCGCGTCTCCTCGGAGTACTGTTGGTGACGACGACCACGCCCACACCTGCTCAGACACTCGAACACCTGCAGGAGACAAACACAGATACATTTCAGAACCTCCGTCTTCTGAATATTAAAACAAACGGGTTTAATGTAACTAGTGTTGGGCAAAGATTAAAAATTTTAATCGCAGTTCACTTCGTCTTGTGAACTCGTCGTTGTTTATGTTTGTGAGAGCGAATCGGGCTCCGGCCGCAACGAGCAGCGATCACCAGTGGCGAGTTCAATCTTAAAACGTTTTGCACAGGTTTTGAACGTTTTGGGATTGAACAACACATTTTCATGCAACGTTCTGCAACGGGCTTCGAGATATGTTTTCTTCTGTTTGGTGGGCGTGTCTCAGGTTTTATCCAATCAGCTGCGACAAGTTTGTAAACACGACGGTGTTAAAAAGTCAGCAGTGTTCACAGCAGGGTGTTCAGGGAACCGCCGTTTCCATTCCAATAAAACGTAGCAAAACGTTTTGTCAGCGCTGAACTCGCCCCAGTGGTCTGGATCACATGGTGCGTTCCATTTGACATGGGAAGTCAGAATTTCCGAGTTCAAAATCGGAAATTTCAAAGGGAACGCCCCTTTAAGTCGGATTTCCGACTTGGAAAGTCGGGAGAACCGCACTACCCCAACTTCGTCATCCAAGATGGCTGCTCCAAGTATCAACAGTGAAAGCTGTAGTTTATACCGTTTATTATACTGGAACATCAACTCGGGTGTGACGTCGTTCCCAGCTCCGACCTCCGACTTCTGAGGTAAATGGAGCGCACGAATAGAGAGCCACTCACCGACCAGCTTCTCCGTCCCTTGCTGATGAGACGTTTCCTGTCTGGGGAGGAAAACCGCCTCTGGATCTGCAGGTTGTAGAGGAACAAGACTCGCTTCTTCTCCCTCTGACAGACAGACAGATTATTTTCATATCGGATCAATCTGATTATTCTCTGGATGAACCTCCGGCTCTAACAACTGACGCTGATACCGAAGCACCTTAAACCTGCGTCCTCTCTAGCAGCCAGCAGGGGGCGACTTAAACCTGCGTCCTCTCTAGCAGCCAGCAGGGGGCGACTTAAACCTACGTCCTCTCTAGCGGCCAGCAGGGGGCGACTTAAACCTGCGTCCTCTCTAGCGGCCAGCAGGGGGCGACTTAAACCTGCGTCCTCTCTAGCAGCCAGCAGGGGGCGACTTAAACCTACGTCCTCTCTAGCGGCCAGCAGGGGGCGACTTAAACCTGCGTCCTCTCTAGCAGCCAGCAGGGGGCGACTTAAACCTACGTCCTCTCTAGCGGCCAGCAGGGGGCGACTTAAACCTGCGTCCTCTCTAGCAGCCAGCAGGGGGCGACTTAAACCTACGTCCTCTCTAGCGGCCAGCAGGGGGCGACTTAAACCTGCGTCCTCTCTAGCAGCCAGCAGGGGCGACTTAAACCTACGTCCTCTCTAGCAGCCAGCAGGGGGCGACTTAAACCTACGTCCTCTCTAGCGGCCAGCAGGGGGCGACTTAAACCTGCGTCCTCTCTAGCAGCCAGCAGGGGGCGACTTAAACCTACGTCCTCTCTAGCAGCTAGCAGGGGGCGACTTAAACCTACGTCCTCTCTAACAGCCAGCAGGGGGCGACTTAAACCTACGTCCTCTCTAGCGGCCAGCAGGGGGCGACTTAAACCTGCGTCCTCTCTAGCAGCTAGCAGGGGGCGACTTAAACCTACGTCCTCTCTAGCGGCCAGCAGGGGGCGACTTAAACCTGCGTCCTCTCTAGCGGCCAGCAGGGGGCGCCTTAAACCTGCGTCCTCTCTAGCAGCTAGCAGGGGGCGACTTAAACCTACGTCCTCTCTAGCGGCCAGCAGGGGGCGACTTAAACCTGCGTCCTCTCTAGCGGCCAGCAGGGGGCGCCTTAAACCTGCGTCCTCTCTAGCAGCCAGCAGGGGGCGACTTAAACCTACGTCCTCTCTAGCAGCCAGCAGGGGGCGACTTAAACCTACGTCCTCTCCAGCAGCCAGCAGGGGGCGCCTTAAACCTGCGTCCTCTCTAGCAGCCAGCAGGGGGCGACTTAAACCTGCGTCCTCTCTAGCGGCCAGCAGGGGGCGACTTAAACCTGCGTCCTCTCTAGCGGCCAGCAGGGGGCGACTTAAACCTGCGTCCTCTCTAGCGGCCAGCAGGGGGCGACTTAAACCTGCGTCCTCTCTAGCGGCCAGCAGGGGGCGACTTAAACCTGCGTCCTCTCTAGCGGCCAGCAGGGGGCGACTTAAACCTGCGTCCTCTCTAGCGGCCAGCAGGGGGCGCCTTAAACCTGCGTCCTCTCTAACGGCCAGCAGGGGGCGACTTAAACCTGCGTCCTCTCTAGCGGCCAGCAGGGGGCGCCTTAAACCTACGTCCTCTCTAACGGCCAGCAGGGGGCGACTTAAACCTGCGTCCTCTCCAGCGGCCAGCAGGGGGCGACTTAAACCTGCGTCGTCTCTAGCGGCCAGCAGGGGGCGACTTAAACCTGCGTCCTCTGTAGCGGCCAGCAGGGGGCGACTTAAAGCTCCGTCCTCTCCAGCAGCCAGCAGGGGGCGACTTAAACCTGCGTCCTCTCTAGCAGCCAGCAGGGGGGCGACTTAAACCTGCGTCCTCTGTAGCGGCCAGCAGGGGGCGACTTAAAGCTGCGTCCTCTCCAGCAGGGGGCGACTTAAACCTGCGTCCTCTCTAGCAGCCAGCAGGGGGCGACTTAAACCTGCGTCCTCTCTAGCAGCCAGCAGGGGGCGACTTAAACCTGCGTCCTCTCTAGCAGCCAGCAGGGGGGCGACTTAAACCTGCGTCCTCTGTAGCGGCCAGCAGGGGGCGACTTAAACCTGCGTCCTCTGTAGCGGCCAGCAGGGGGCGACTTAAAGCTGCGTCCTCTCCAGCAGGGGGCGACTTAAACCTGCGTCCTCTCTAGCAGCCAGCAGGCGGCGACTCCAGCGAAAGAAGTGTGATTGTATAAAAGTCTGTGAGAAACTGTTTCTACTTGTCAGCTGATTTATTCCCTCAGTAAACACTTTCCTGATGAGTTTCTGGTCTCAGTCGCTAGTTTCAAGTCTTCTTCAACACAGCATGATGTTCATTTAGTAAATTATGGTCCCATTTAGAGGAACAGAGACCAGGAAGCAGGGGAGGCTTTAGGGCGGGGCTACAAGCTGACTGACAAGTTGCTACCATGGCGACCAAAATTAGCATCCCAGTTAATATCAAAGTTAACCTGATTTCCAGATTCACCTAGCTAACCAAGCTAGCTAGCTCCGCCCTCTCATGTGTTTGAAACAGGTAAAACTGCTGTCTCAACAGGTGTCTAACAGGACGTTAAGTGATGTTCACAACAGATCAAATGTTCTTTTCCTGTCTTGTAAGAAGATCTGTGTGTCTGGCGGATAAACAAGCCAAATTTGTTTTTAAAGTTTTTCCATTTTTGTAAAGTTAGGGAGAACTAATCCTTTCATATTAGCCAGTGACTGGAACCAACCAAAGTTTGTTTAGTTTGATTTCTGAGGAGCCTGACGCTGAGGCCAGTGACTGACAGCCAGAAGAGAAGCAAGGCGGCGTGCTGATGTCACATGTTGCCATATGTCCTGCCCTAAAAGGCTGTTCGAAACCAATGTTCATAGAAGATGCCTTCTCTCAAAAGTTATACTTCTGAGGCTTCAAAACGGTGGTACATAAAGCAAAGGGTGACTTTTACATCATGACGCCTTCGCAACGCTTGTTGTTTCCAAGCAACAGTCCAAACCTCACAGGTCTTACAATCATTATTGTTTTATCATCGATAATTAATCGTTTCAGCTGTTGTTGGGAAGTTTTTGTTTTGTTTTGTGTGTAAAAATCTCAGATCAGCTCATTAAAGTCGCTAAAGCCTTCAATTTCAATTCAATTCAAATCAGCTTTATTGGCATGAATGTATAGAAACAATATCACCAAAGCTACAAATAAATTACAAAAGAACAATTAATTTCATTAAATAAGTAAATAAAACAGTAAAAGTTGTGTTTGTGTGTGTTAATAAAAAATTAAATTATAATAAAAAATATATAAAATAAGAATTATGTAAAATAAATATTAAAAATAAAAGTACATAAATTAAATAAGCGTGTGTGTGTTAGAAAATGAAAATAATAACTTAAAATAAATAAATAAAACACTAAGTGTGTGTGTGTGTATTAACAAAAAATAAAACATTTATTAAAAAAAAAGTAGCAAATGTGAAATTTAAAAACAAAATACAAATAAAGGAATAATTGTTAAAATATCAAACAATCACAACAACAATTCTCTCTCTCTCTTTGCCTCTAAGTGTCTCTCGACCACAGTTCAGCCTGTCAGCTGTAAAGCTCTTACACTAATCTGCTCTCAGATCAGATTTACTGCAGCTCACAGAGAGAGTGTGTGTGTGTGTATGTTTGTGTGTGTGTGTGTTAATGAGATTTGAGCGATTTGCTTCATCAGTAGGGGAGAGGAAGTGACATCACAGCCTCTAATGAATGTTCAAACCAACACAAACAGGTACACTGTTTACTACAACACACTACAAATGCTGCTATTGTTACTGCAAGTACTCCCACTACTGCAGTTTGAGCACCAGAGGAACACACTCACGCCTCCGTCAGCTGCAGCGTCATCACGTTTAACCCTTTCAGATGTAAAGCAAAACTAATACTATTGATTACCACAATACTACTACAACTGCAACCAGGTTGTTATTAATATCAGTATGTTACTGTATTAAAACACAGAAACACACAAAGAAGAGACATGAGCGTAGCCGCCGTGACGTCCCCTGTTGGTTTGTGGACCGACGTTCTGAAGCCTCCAGTTTGGTATTTTGAGCGTCGCCATCTTGGTTTTTTGGATTCAGACGTGATCATATTTGGACGAGACGGAGGAGCTAGCTATGATGGTAAAACAGTAAAGTTACATGTCGTTACATCTACATCTACATCTCTCGTCTCGCACAGTATACGTACATCACCAACACGTTAGCGTGGTAATGCTAAGCTAACGTTCATTGCTTGGTTGCTGCTAGCTAGATAACTTAGCTATGTTCCACATAGAAATAAATCTCACGTGATTTGTTTAATCCAGCGTCTCTCGGTCCTTTTATCACATCATCCTCTCATGTAATCTCTTTGACGTTAGCTTCAGAAACATTAGCTTCAAGTTACGATACGCGACTTTTTGCTTTGTGCTCTTTTTAATTATGTATTTTCAGTCTAACACTTCAACAGTTTTACATCAAACTGCAACTTTCTTGTCTTTTAAATGTATATTTTAAATTGACCATCATCATGAGTGTAATTCAGAGCACAATTCAAATGGGACCAAAAAATTAGTCGTACAATCACACTTCTTTCTGCAGCCGCTGGAGTCGCCCCCTGCTGGCTTCTGGAGAGGACGCAGGTTTAAGTCGCCCCCTGCTGGCTGCTGGAGAGGACGCAGGTTTAAGTCGCCCCCTTCTGGCTGCTAGAGAGGACGCAGGTTTAAGTCGCCCCCTGCTGGCCGCTGGAGAGGACGCAGGTTTAAGTCGCCCCCTGCTGGCTGCTAGAGAGGACGCAGGTTTAAGTCGCCCCCTGCTGGCTGCTAGAGAGGACGCAGGTTTAAGGCGCCCCCTGCTGGCCGCTAGAGAGGACGCAGGTTTAAGTCGCCCCCTGCTGGCTGCTAGAGAGGACGCAGGTTTAAGTCGCCCCCTGCTGGCCGCTGGAGAGGACGCAGGTTTAAGGTGCTTCAGCACTGTGTGTAGGTGTTTGTGTTTGTACCTCTGGGTGGTAGAAGGCAGCAATGACCCGTCTGAGGCGGTTGGTGTAAACCTGAAGGCAGCTGAAGAGCGCCACCAACAGGACAAACCCTGCACAGCTCACATACACACCAGCAGAGAGGGAGGAGGGGGGAGAGACACACACTGAGAGAGAGAGAGAGAGAGAGAGAGAGAGAGAGAGAGAGAGAGAGGTGTGTTCTTGTCAGGCCGAGTTTATTTGTACAGGTAATTTCAACAACAAGGCAATTCAATTAATAATAATAATAATAATAATCTTTATTTGTAGAGCACTTTTCAAAAACAAGTTAGAAAGTGCTTTAACAAGTGTAAAGAATAATACAAAAACAATACATGATAAAACAAGAAAACATTGAAGAGACTAAAATACACGTTTAAGAATAAAATATATAAAATAGAATAAAATAAAAGGGATAAAATGAAGTCAAATAAGATCGGGAAAAGCTCTCCTATAAAAGTCTGTTTTAAGAAGGGACTTAAAAGAGTTCACTGACTCAGCCGACCTGATTTCCTCGGGCAGGCTGTTCCAGAGCCTCGGGGCCCTGACAGCAAACGCTCTGTCCCCTTTAGTTTTCAGTCGAGACTCTGGAACAGACAACAGACCTCTGCCCGAGGATCTCAAGGTACGTGCTGGTGCGTATGGGACTAAAAGGTCAGAAATATAACAAGGCGAGAGGCCATGAAGAGCTTTAAAAGTGATCAATAGAATTTTAAAGTCAATTCTAAAACATACAGGGAGCCAGTGCATCTAAAAAAAAGTAATATTGTGGGAAAGTTCGTTTTCTTCTGTAATTTTATTATAATATATTCTAGAATCATTACTGAATTATTTGAAGATTTTTTTTTTGTTTTAATCTTGAGGATTGCGTCTCACAGCTCATGGAAAATATTTTCAGAATAAAGAGTTTACAAAAAATAGTCAACCGGAGAAGAGCTGTGGTCTGCTACTGAACTCAAAACACCTGCACCTGTTTCCTGAGCCTTTAATCTCTCAATCTGGTTTTGTTGCTCACAATGAACATTTCCACAATATTTACATTTTTTGAGATGCACCTGTATTAATATTTGTATAATCTTGTCCTGAGCTGAGAGAGAGAGAGGGAGAGAGAGAGAGGCCGCCCTCTGCTGGTTCAGTTTGATATAAAATCTGGCAGAGAGCATGTGGACAGCAGCCTCTTTCAGTCACTTTGATCCAGTGGTTTGGATGCAGGCGGAGCTGCTGGTTTACATCATCTGTTTCACAGATTTGGCTTTTAGCTGAGGCTAAAAAGTGTCTTTAAAATATGAATGTGTCATGTTCTCCAGTATCACTCCTGAAACAATGACGATAAACAACTCTACTCTGTTCAGTGTTAACTGTTTCCTCTCCTGTGTTGATTTTGCACTGAGCTGCTTTTTTCTCTTTGAGCCTCACTGAGGTCTTCTTACGCTGTGTTGAGCTCTGCTACCTACAACATGCAGGTGACATAACCTGAGCTACACCTCTGATCAGGTGCACAGTCTGCCTCAGGGTGAAAAAGCTCAGAGCGAATTCCGGTCACATGGTTTGTACAAGTTTGATAAATTTGTTCTGCTTACTGTAGGTGAGCATTATTTATTTATTTTTAACATAAAGTTTTGGCAATATGTATTTTCTCTGGCCTAAAGATAAATAAAGACTTAGCGCTTCGTCACTGCCGGATGTTTAAGAGTTTGTGCTGCAGAAATCCGGCGTGACCTTTGACCTGTGACCTACCCCGGTTGTCGGTTTGGATGTGAAGGATGGACGAGCTGTTGAAGGCTGAAACTGTCTTCCTCAGGAGGCGGGCCATCATGGAGGCTCCGCCCACTCTGATGTCCACCTTGTGACTGCCTGCAGAGAGAGGACTTCATTACCCAGAAACCCTGAGTTTCATTTAAAAGGAATAATATGCAATTATACATTTTATTTATCCTGTGAACCAGGTGATCTCAAGGTTCATGAAAGATGCTGAGGAAAGTGTGTTTTGCAGCGGTGAAGCTGAAACCATGTGTCTTTATTTTATGATTGTGTTTGTACCAAATTATTTTGGTTAGATTTGGAAAACCTCTTTAAGACATTGACTGGTTCAACTGGTTCAACTATTATTTTGCAGAAAAGAGATTTTTTTATGAGAAGAATGATATTGATTGTAAAATAAGATATGTATATATATAACCTCTTTATTTTGTATGGAAAGTTTTATGTTCTCAAGTGCAAATGGTTGAACAAGAAACCACAATTACCAGTTTTTAAGATAGAAAGTAAATTAATACATTAATACTTTATTTGGTTTAAAGAATGAAAAAGCAGTCAAAACAGATAAAATATGTAAAGATTTAAACATTTTTCTATAATGCCTTTGTTTGTTCTTTAGTTATAGTTCTGTTATATTTTGTTACTTTATGTACTTTTGTCTTGCTTATAAAAGAGATGAAATAAAGCTTCAAAAAAAGGAATAATATGCAACACAATGAATTATTATGAATGAGCACGTTAGCTTGATAACAATAACAGGTGGTCTTATTATTTCACCATCATCATGTGTTATTTTCACGGTTATAAAGTATAATATCTTTCAAATATACAATTCAACTACAATTCATCAAATGGTAACATTTATGTTGTGTGCGTGGTTACTGGTCAGGTTGAACTGGGTGAAGGTGTGTCTGCTGACGATGTCCAAGACGTGGAACAGAGAGAAGTCGACCGACAGCAGGCCGACAGACAGCAGAGAGGCCGACAGCACCTGCAACACACCCGAGGTCTGCCAACACACACACGTTAATAATAAGCGGAGAATTGAAAGCCAAACTCAAAGACCCCCGCTGTGCATGGCAAGGTAAACGTCATTTATCCAACCAGAGCATCCATTCCAGCGACTAACAGCAGACGTTCCTCAGCGGCTGAGCAGCTCAACTGCTTCTTCGGCTGCCACGAGGAGGAGAGACCAGAGACTGTCATGTAGGGCTGCTCGAAATAAAACTGACACTGCAAAAAAAAAAGTAGCTCTACAGTTCAGTTGCTCTATTTGAAAATAACATCCCAGCGTTATTGGGGTGAATTTATAGGAAAATGCATACAAAATAAAAATAAATCTTCTTTTTTCTTTGAGTGCAAACTAACCTTTCTTGAGCTTGAATGCAGGAAATAGATTTTAAAATGAGATCAATAAAAATCAAAGAGCAGCTAAAACCACCAGATGGTTTCCAAAAGTTGCTTTTCTTTTTGCAACCAAATCCACTGTGTCGGTGTTTTTTTCCTGTTCTCTCTCACTTATATTCACACTGTCATCAACAACTGATGGGGCCTGATTTGGTAGTTTGATAAACTGATCAAGAACTGTATTGTGACCCGCTGGTCACTCACTGGCAACAGACTCTGTGTATACAAGAACCCTTCAGTCAGAGTAAATGATGTTACATCTGACAGACTTCTCTTTAGTCGTGGAAAATAAGAACTGTGCGAGTTTTTCTTTTGTATCAAGCAGCAAAAAAGTTGAGGTGATAATTTCACTTGCTTGACATTATAGTTCAGTGATGTGACTACTGAGGTTGGGCACATTGCGATGATGATGCTGATATATGGTGCAACCCTAATGTCATGACCACCCCTCCATGTCAAGATACCAGCAGTCAGGTACTCATTATCCTGCCTGCAGACATCACACACACAGTCCAGAACAGACGGTGTTTCAGGACGGACTGTCCTGCAGAGCTAGCTGAGGTATTTATGAATATCTTTAACCGATCCCTATCACAGTGTAATGTCCACACCTGTCTGTAGCAACGCATTCTTATCTCAGTTTGGCTTCCGGAAGCGTCTCATAGAAAAGTGTGTCAAATAACTACGTTTTGTCACTTTTTCTGAAAGAGTTGGTATTGGACACCCCGAGCTGAGAACGGGCTGTCTGAAGACATCCACCGCAGTGCCAGTTCCGAAGCAGACTACAGTAACCTGCCTCAGTGATTATGGGACAGTGGTATTAACACCAGTAATCATGAAGTGCCTGGAAAGACTCAATCAAGGCTGCTCTCCCACCTAATCTAGAGCCTCACGAATATGCACACAGATCCAACTGAGAATCTTCATATATAATGTGTTATATGAATAAAGTGTAAAAACCCATGCAACACATAATACCAGAAAACATTTTGAACTCTGACCTGCTGATGCGATTAAACAAGTGAACCCACTGTGGCGCTGTTTGTGACACTTTTGATTTGAACTCAATGATAAAAAGAACGGCTCTCACCAAGGAAGACTCAGTCCCCTTTCTTTGTACCAAAATTTTGTCTTAAAGAACCAGATCGTTTGTGAACTAACCCACATCATGGTATCAGTCTGAAAGTACTGGGTTCAGATCAGAGCACTGGTAAAGCACAGGTATCATTAATATTGGTGTTACCCACCACTTGTTCGAGCTCCTCAGGGTGGATCTTTGGACTCCAGGGGTTGATGAAATTCTTTTTCTCTGATTGTTTCAGAGGCAGCAGACAGCGCTTCCCCTAAACACATCACACAACACGAGATGATGGATCAAGATCGTTCTGAAGTGGAGAAATCTTTTTCACACTGCAGGGAAAGAGGTGATGATGATGATGTTACCGCTCTCCTCCGGCGGGCGTCAGTCTGCCTGAAGTAGGTGGTGATGTAGACGTTATCGAATTGAACGTCCCTCCTGTACTGTATAAGGTAACTAAACGCTCTGAGGAGGAAGAAGAGGAGGAGGTTTTGGTCTCTGACTCAGCAGAAAGAAAAAGCTGAAGTCAGACTTTTAGATCTTACTGGATGAAGATGGTGATGAAGGTGAAAGAGCGCAGCAGATGCAGGACGTTAAGCAGCTGCTTCATGGTCGTCATCAGCTTCTGGAAGGATCCTCTAACAGCCTGAGTGATCTCCTGATCCAGCGGAGCTCCACCTAACACCGACTGCTGCTGCTGCTCCTGCAGGAGGTCAGAGGACGCAAAGACTCATCTATCTACGCATTAGCAGAGAACCATGTAACCATGTAAAGATTTTGCTGAGGGTGGAGGAGGCGAAGGCAGTGACCTGCAGGACGAGCTCGGTGCTGAACTCTCTGGACAGCAGGTCGACTGAACGGTTCAGCTGATCAAACAGCTGCCCAAAGTTTCCCTCCACAGGGATCTGCTCCCTGCACCACGGAGTCATCACTGACGAAGAAGAAGAAGAGCCTGTTATAGACAAATGATGTACGAACCTCTCTGTATCAGAATGACAGATGAATGGCTTGAATATTTCTAAACTGATTAAAGAAGTCATGTTTTTAGTCATGTTCAGAGTCTTGTTTAGTCCGGTTGAACAGAACCTTGGAGAGTTTGAGTTGGTGTGAACGCAGGACTCAAACTGCTCCAATAACCATAATCTCAGGTTTATCTTGATTCAAATGTAAGACGTTCTGAATCATGTGACAGATGCATGCAGTACAGTTGTCAATGGGAGTCCAAACAGAGATATACAGCAAGGTATCGTTTGCATATTGGCTGAATGTTTGCAGGTGTATCACTGCCGTTCTGCTGTATTTTTCTGTTTAACAACAGTTAAATACTCTTTTATTCAAGTTAGCCTTTGTCTCGCCGCGTGCCGTCTACAATGTGAAAACGTGTGTGTTTTAAGGTCTATTATTGCTTATGTTTTACTGTTCTTTTTGCTTTTTACTCATTGTTGTTTCTTTACTATTTTTCTTTTCATTTGCTCATATTTCTAATATTTTACTCTTGTAAAGCACACTGTGACTTTTTTCTGTGAAAGCTACTATTTTAAATGAACTTACTAGGCAGCTGTCACTGGTGTGATCAAATCAAGTCAAGTCGAATTTTAGCATTCCACATGGGGAAATTTGGTTGTAGTCATGTATTAAAACACAGTCAATCCATCATAAATACAATTTGAAGACAACTTACCAGACAGGACACCGAGATCATATTACAATACAGTACAGGGCAAGATCATTTCATATGAGAACAAGGTGTGCAAATTGTTCAGTGCAAAAGTGCCAATTATTTCATTTCAACACTTTCTTGTATCTAAGCTAGCAGGCTAGCTACATAGTGCCTTGAAAAAGTTTGAACAATGGTCAAATTGGTAGCTCTATGGCAATGAGCATTAGGTCAAACTATCATTTAAAAAATCTATTTATATAACAAGTGGTGTTTGTTGATTAAGCTGCAGTAATGCTGTGTATACAGTTACCACAGCATGGATCAATGGCGTTTCCTGCTACAGTGGGACAATCTGTATGTCTGTGTGAAGTGCTGTATGATAATTTATTTAAGTGCTATAAGACAGTAAAATAGCAGAGATTAACCACTCAGACACTAGAACAAGAGAAACATGCCATCAGACATTTTAAGATCTCAATGCAGCGCAAAATTATGTGGAACTTCTGAGCAGTCAGAGCCTGAATGTGCAGTAAATATCTTGAATTTGAGTCTAGTCGTAGTTTAAGTGGAGACCACAGAAAGACCCTGGCCAGTGGGACCTTTCACCTCTCATGATATCACACAGGAAGTGGAACTTCATGGAGACGCAGAGGATGTGGTTAATGACGGGGACCGGGATCGCAGTCATACATTCCTCCCACCTGAGGCTGAACCAGTCAGTACATCGCTGCACACCCTCGTCCACCACACCTGGAAAACAAACAGACACAAGCGGACGATAAATTTAACGTCCACTTGATGCTTTTTTACACAGCTTCCTATTAAAACTCTAGTTCATCTCACTCACCGTCGCACTGCATCATGGTCTTGGAGGTGTACTGCTCTTGTGTGCTGTTCCCGGCAGCGTGTTTGGGTTTGAATTGGTCGTATCCGTACTGAAGGACGACCTCGTCTCTGATGTTCTGAAACTTCCTGCTGATGCTCTGAGCCTCCGACTGAAACTCAGCTTCGTCATCCTGAACAGGAAACACAACACGCATCAGTTAACACTCCTATTAGGACCAGATACATCTGCCATATTTTGTTCCACAAACACATCCATGCAGCTAGGCTGTTCTCATTCCCAGAATGTCAAGCTACACTTTGTCATGTCTTTAGCGCCATTGTTTAATGCTAAAAGTATTACTTTAAATAACAGAAAAGTCAGAGTAAGGAGGTGGTGGGATGGACGGTTGGGACCAGAACCTGACTTTCACCCAGATGACTGGTGTTCATTTCCCTTGTGAAAAAAACTTTTAGTGATGGTACGTAGGTAGCAAAACTTAACTTACATAATTTCAGTGATGTAACTAACATAGTTATTTTAACCCAAACCATGACCTTTTCCTAAACCTAACCAAGTATTTTTGGTACCTAAACCTAAACAAACTGCAACGTTTCACAACCACTAGTTATACACTGAACAAAATTACAGACGCAACACTTTTGTTTTTGCACAAATCTGTCAAAATCTGTGTCAGTGAGCACTTCTCCTTTGCCGAGATAATTCATCCACCTCACAGGTGTGGCATATCAAGACGCTGATCAAACAGCATGGGTGTTGTACAGGTGTGCCTTAGGCTGGTCACAATAAAAGGTTTTTGGCTGGCCACAATAAAAGGTCACTCCAAAATGTGCAGTTCCATCACACACAATGCCACAGATGTCGTAATTTCTGAGGGAGCGTGCATTTGGCACGCTGGCTGCAGGAATGTCCACCAGAGCTGTTGCCCGTGAATTGAATGTTCATTTCTCTACCATAAGCCGTCTCCAAAGACGTGTCAGAGAATTTGGCAGTACATCCAACCGTCATGAACCGGTTTTCACTGTACAGGGCAGATGACAGACAGTGTGTATGGCGTCATGTGGATTAGCGGTTTGCTGATGTCAACGTTGTGGATCAAGTGGGCCATGGTGGCGGTGGGGTTATGGTATGGTCAGACAAGTGTTATGGACAAAAATTTTATTGATGGCATTTTGAATGCACAGAGATACCATGATGAAATCCTGAGGCCCACTGTTGTGCCATTCATCCACGACCATCACCTCATGTTGCAGCATGATAATGCACGCCTCCATGTTGCAAGGATCTGTACACAATTCCTGGAAGCAGAAAACTTCCCAGTCCTTGCATGGCCAACATACTCGCCGGACATGTCACCCATTGACCATGTTTGGGATGTTCTGGATCGGCGTATGTGAAAGCGTGTTCCAGGTCCTGCCAATATCCAGCAACTTTGAACAGCCATTGAAGTGGAGTGGACCAACATTCCACAGGCCACAATCAACAACCTGATCAGCTCTATGCAAAGAAGATGTGTTGCACTGCGTGAGGCAAATGGTGGTCACACCAGATACTGACTGGTTTCCAGACCCCCCCATTACAGTGAAACTGCACATTTTTGATGGCGCGGGGTGGGTGGCGGAGTGATGGGGGAAGGGGATTACAGTAGTAATCTTTACTCATTACCATTGACAGCAACATTGCCCAGCACCATTGCTCTAAAAGTTGCTCCGTGTATTCACCGCCGAGGCCTATGCGTGCAAAAACAATACTAAAGAGTACCCAGGGCGTTAAAAAGCAATGCCAAGGTGTCAGAATACATGTCCATATGTAACGCCCTGGGATGAGAACGGGTTGAACCATAACAACAACAACATACAGACACAGCCGACAATCAGATAAAAACACATCTTTTGTTTTGTTTTGTATTTTCGTAAATTTGGCAAATGCATTTAGCAGTTTTCAGCCATGCCAGCAGCGTCGCTCTATGGATGGTAATGTCTGTCGGTCTGTCCTTCATGTTGTTCAGACTGAAACATCAGCAGCTGCTAAATGGATTTTGATGAAATGTGGTCCAGACCTTCATGTTCCCCTCAGGATAAACTGAAATATCTTTGCTGATCCTCTGACTTTCCATCTTTTGGTTTATGACCATATACCTGCTGAACTAATTAGATTACCATCAGCCTCAGCTGTATGCTGTGTTTACTGCTAATTAGCTAATGTTAGCATGCTAACACACTGAATTAAGCATGAAAACATGGTAAATATATCTGCTGATGTTAAACTGTCACTGTTAGTATGCTTATTATTAATGTCACATGTATGTTCATGTGTAGCAACATAGCAAACCACCATGTAAAATACTACTTGGCAATAAATCTCTTCCTGATTCTGATGTTAGCATTTAGCTCAAAGCACTGTAGTGCTGCTAGCAAGCCTGCAAGCTATAATGGTCTGGTTTTAAAGTCTTGTCCCAGTCACCATGAGCTCCTGGGCGATGAGTATAAAAGGTCTGATGGTGTCTCTCCACAGTAACTTGCTGTGATGAACCTGCAGGTCCAGGTTACAGCTCAGAGACACTGCAGCCGCCTCCACGTTACGCTGGATGTTAGAAACCGGTCCTGTAAAATCATCAGGAGACACGTTACAACAGCGATACAACACAGATCCATTCAATCACATCCAATACTGCAAGATATCATATTCTTTGACATAATGCACATTTGTGTTTTTTCAACATGATACTACTCCAAGTACACATTACAATACAGTATTTAAAAATGCTATTCATGATACTACATGACGTTTAGTTTCACATTAACAGGTCACTCAAGTTGATGTGATATAAGACTGTCGAGGTCGGGGGATTCCCTCCCTGGTCGACCCCCGTTTTCAACTGAACGGGCCCCCTTCCCACGCCACGGGGTTCTGCCGCCAATCGTCAGGCTGCCCGTCTGATTGTGGGAGCTGATAAAAGTCCGTCTCTGTTGCCTCTCGCTGTGTTCATGAATAACCTGCGTGATATTTTGCTGTATATAATGTTAAGTCAGGTTGTTGTGATATACAGATTGATGTTAACTCGTTTCAGGGATTAACTCAGTAGTTGTGGGAACCGGACAACAGGCTTAGGTTAGTTTATTTGTTTTACGCATCTCTAATTTTCTGCACCACACCTAGTTTTCATTGTTTATTCAAACATTATCTTTATGGGTGGCTGCAAGATGGAATTCTGGTTTGGCAGAGCAAGATTATCACAGGAAGATAGGAGTTTGAGTTTTATTCTTTAAGACTTTGTAGTTTGTAAAGTAAAAGGGGCTGGTCGGCTGGAAAGGTGCCTTCTTTTGTTTGTTTGTTTGTTGATTTGCCTGCAGCCCTTCCCTTTGTTCCCTGCCTCACCTTTTAATTTCTTCTTTTAATTTCCCTTGTGGAACATGTTGCTCAACCTTTGAAGAAATGTGTGTCTCCCATTGTCGATGTGTTGCTTCCTTTATCCTTCGACATGTACGGGTTTGTAGCAAAGAGGATGCCAGATATGTACAAATGTGATATGAAGGTAAATTATTCCCTAGCACACTCATTACATCATTCACCAATATAATCCAATTTAATTAAATAAGATCTGTGACACAGCACAGTTCACAGTAAACGTTGGGGTTGCGAGTGCTGCAGTTCAGGAATTTAGTGAATGTGTGTTTTGCTATCTGTCTATTTATATTAGAATGTACAAAACAAAAATTGATTCAAAGGTAGTTTAACCTAAACAAGTCACATAATATCAATGGAATCTGAAGCTAAAAAGGCCGTTACTGCTACACTGCTATCGCCGGCCGAACACTAGAGGAGGATCGGGACGATTCGCCCTCCCGACAATTGCGGGGGCGTTGCCGAGCCGAGCCTGGTGGGAACAGATTATTGGCCAAAATGATCCTGTGAGGACTTTACAGACAAATTCTTAAGGTTTACTGACTGGATCAGAAACCTGCAGCGGCCGATGAGAGCGAGCTGAGCGGGAAGCGTCCCCAGCGTGTTGTGTCTCTAAAATGTAGAAACCTGCTGATTCCCTCCTCTCAGCCTCGAGTTCATCCACAGTTTGTTTCACGCACAAGGTCGACCAGCTGACAGTCTGCCTCCTCCATCTTTGTTTATGTCTGAAGTCACGTTTCATCACTCGAGATTCTGTGAGATCCCGAGTCCCCAGAAGTGTGGGGTCCTGAACCGTCTGGACTTCTTAAGATTAAAATATCAAACATAGGTTCAATCTGTCGTTGTGTCTTTGGGATCCAACGTTTTTAAAGTCTGTTAAGATGTGAAAATCCTCTCAGGTGCAGCAGGTAGAAGCTAGGCTAGTTTAGCTCCATCATCACTCGGTTTAGCTACTGTGTCATTTATGTAGGACAAAACACTAAATAAGCAAGATGTCTGTTAATCCAAAATAATATTTATGTACATTTGCAGATAAGGTAATAAGCATGAGTTGAATTTAATTCATTTAATTATTTCACAATTTATCTCTTAATTTCTATATTTAATTATGTGATTGTTTATTTCCGAAGGATTGATATATATTATATATTATTAATATATATATATATTATTGAATGTTTTAGGGCTCCACAGTCTCCCACACGGGTGTACAGGTAAAGTTAGTGTGTGTGTGTGAGTTCACCTCTGTAGAGCACAGACAGGAGTAACAGCATCAGGTAGGCTCGGCCACGAGAACCGAACACGCCAGGAAACATCAGGAGGACCGAACATCTGCAGGTGGAGGACAAGGCGCCGCACACCGCACACACGGCTGGAGCACGCACACACATGTGTTAGTCAACATGTGACTTTCAATTATTTAATAATTTCAGGTAAAAAGCGATGTGTGACGTCTGCTCACCGACAAACAAACCTCCTGCTGCCAGCTGCAGGTCAAAGGTCAGCGGGAGGCTTTGGCAGACTCCCAGGAACAGGACTGAGGGATCATAACGGGGTGCGTCAGGTTAACTGGACACATTAACTAGCAATAAAATGTAATCAATTCAAAAATAAATTCAACTGGAAAAAAGATCAAATAAAAATCATTTTATGATTTTTGTGATTTATTTTTCATATTAAAATAAATAGATGAAAATAGAGTTGATTAAATATTTATAAATAAAAAAATATATATTATATAAAATATATATAGCTGTTGCTATAATAATTAGTAAGTATAAGTAATACAAAAAATGAAATAATTTTAATAAACAAAATATATAAAAAACAGTATCATCTTTATTTTTCTGGCTAAATTGATTTTAAATTGTAGTCAATTAAAAAATTACTTTAATTTGATAAAATTGAGTGCTTTATGAAACATCTATGCAAACATTTAAATAAATAATAATAGCTGTTGCTGTAATAATGAAATAATGCAAAAACTAAACTATTATAATAAAAATAAAATGAAATGGGACATTGTAAATAAATCATTTAACAATTTAAAATAATTTAAAATAAAACTTCATTTCAAATCATTTTAGAATACAAAAAAATAAGTAATTAAAAAATAACAATTCTAATAAACATTTAAATAAAAAGAAAACAATACAATTTGAAAAGAAAACAACAGAGAATGCTAACAATTCTTAGCATTAATGCTACGAGTGATAACAACATTAGCCTGTTAAGGAGGAATTGTAGACTCCGGGGTTGGGGTTAGTAATGGACGTTACCTGCACCGCTCACTGCCCCAAACAGCGCCCTGAGGAGCAGGTGAGCAACCCGAAACTCTTTTGATTGGCTGAAGAGGAATCGGTGGACGACAGAAGGCAGGACGGCGGAACTGATCCTCTGCACAGCTGGAGGACAGACACAGACGGTCAGACAGATGCAGCTGGAGATGTTGTATTTGAGAAGAAGAAGAAGATTGAACGTACTGCTGTGAGGAGGCGAAGGTGTGCGCAGGTGAGTCATGATGTCAGTCCAGTCTCAGGGTTGCTGGTTGTCAGGTGGAGCTTCTGGAAGCTTCAGGTTTCTTTTGGTCTCCAGGGAGACGTGAAAACACCTGAGACAGACTGTATGAAAGAAGGCTGAAGTAAAGGATGAAGACTGGAAACAGGAAAAGACACCTGATGAAAAGAGGCATCAGCGTCCAGGTGGAGAGGGGCGGAGTCAGGCTGGCTGTCAGGAGAGCACTGAACAGGTGAGTGAGCGCTCAGCTAGATCGACTGATTTTTTGGTGTGACCCCCTTCAGAACGCTTGTTTTGTCCGACCTGGAAACAGGAAATGTTTTTTCATTAAATTATGACTTTGACACCTGATCCTGACATCAATCGACTGCGTCAGCTGTACTTGAATAAACTTCTTTTATCATCTCTTTGTAGGTTTTGTGTGTAAAAGTCTGACTCTGTAAAGTAACTGAACTGTCAGGTAAATGTTGTGAAGCGATGAAGTAGCCTGAAAGAAAATACTCAAGTTAAGTACTAGCAGCCTACAACACGTGTACTTGAATGAGTACTAGTAAGACTGCTGACGTCGTTTTTCCGTCCACCAGGTCGGCGGGACGCTCTGGCCTCAGCAGCTGGGGGAAGGTCAGAGGTCACCTGTCAGAGGGGGGGCGTCGCCTCGTGCCGTTTGTTTCCGGGCTGCTGTTGGCGTCTCTGTACGGCGCCACGGCGCTCTTCCTGCAGAGGCAGCCACTGTGGCTGTGTGTCTACACCACGCTGGCGCTGGCCGTCCTGGCAGCCTTCGGGATGGGCCTGTCAGCCGGCGTCCGGGCCGACGTCATGGTGCTGCTGCCCTCGCTGTGCTCAGGTGAGTCCTTCGCCTGTCAGGTGTCAGGTCGTTCTGCCTGAAGAGACTGAAACCCAGCCGCAGGTATAAATGACCAGCGTTACATTAAACCTGCACTGACGTCTCTAACAGGAGAAAGTCAAGTGTAAAATAAAAGTAATCGTGTCTTTCACACTTTATCCTGTAACATAACCTTTATTTGGGGCTCTCAAATAAAGGCGGGGCTCCTGGTGGAGGCGTGGCCTCCCTGATCAGCCTATCACAGCGCCTCGTGTCTTGTGTTGCAGCTCAGGGCAGGAACCTCCTCCTCTTCCTGTTCGCCTCGGTGCTGCTGTCTGGTCCGCTCAGCAACACGTTAGAAAACACGGAGCGAGCCGCCGCCAGTCTGCTGTGTGGAGCCGAGCTGGCAGCCAATCAGACGCAGGAACTGATGCAGAGATCGACCACGCCCCTTTTCTGTAAGACCCGCCCACCTCCACATCACTGAAAAACTGCTGTTATAAATTACTGTTCTTAAATACTTGAGTATTTCCACCTTCTGCAACTTTATACTTCTACTCTGTTACACCTCAGTGTTTACTCCACTGCACGTATTTGATAACATAAAGTAACTTACAAGTTTTGTTTATTTATACAAAATATACAAATAAATGATGATGTATTATTACAGATGAATCTGCCCAGCAGAGTATAAAGTTGCAACATTAAAATAATAAACCCATGAATAATTATAATCCAACAGTATAATAAACTGTATATTATTCTGTAAAATAAGTAAAATTTCGCTTTTGTTCTTAAGTAAGAATTTGAATGCAGGACTTTTACTTAATAATGGAACGTAATGGAGTATTTTTACACTGTGATGTCACTCCCAACCCGTCACACGTGGACGCTTGGTTAAGACCCCTTGGCATAGCTTGTTGACGCCCTGGGCTCCCTTTAGCGTAGTTTTTTGACAGCAGTCAAGTAAATTTGCAACGTCCGGTTGGACTCTATAATAAAGTGTTAATGTTGTGAAACCTCACTATTTGGTTGGGTTTAGGAAAAGGTTGTGAAAATTGCAACAAAAATTGTGTACAAATGTAAATTCTGTGAGAAAGGTTTACTTGCATGACAGGAAAACATGAAATGCAATGTAGAAGAAACAGATCTGCCTTGTCCAAAAGAGTAACTTAAAAAACAAGCTGCTGATTACTGTATTATTATTATTATTATTATTATCTTATTATATTATTATTATTATTATTATTATTATATTTATATTTGATAATATTTTTATATTCTGAATTGTAACCGGCCACGTGAATTTTGTTTCCCTTCATATAAATAAAGACATTTCCACCATAAATTGGTACAGAAAATGTCTCCAGACTGCAGGAAATTGAGAGCTTAATGCTTAATGCTTGCATAAAAACATTTATTTTTGACTTTTTTGTTTTGGGAAACGAACGCCAGTCTCCGGGGTAAAAGTCCGGTTTCTGGCCAACTGTCCACCCCAACCTCCTCCGCCTCCCTTTAGCATTTTAAGTTACGCTTCAGGCCTTCCCCAGAGCGTTGAACTATGACACCAAGTGGCTCCTCAGAGTGTTACACGACACTAACGGGTCTTGACCATACGTCCATCTCGCTGACTTAAATCATTTTTCTCATTCAGCTCAGTTCAGCCACGATCATTTGATTCAGTCAAAGTTTCCCCATGTTGATGTGCAGTTTCTGTTGTTTGCAGCCGTGTTGGACAGAATCATAGAGATCAGCAGCAACGTGCACTCTGTGGCGGCGAGAGTCCAGAACCTGATCC